AGTAGGAAAAGTAGTCTGAAAGCCCTTGCTCCCAAACACATATCAGTAAAAGAGGTCAAGGGGTGGTGTTTAACCATTAGAAGCCAAGAAGTGGTCATGACCAGCAAAGTTGAGGGGCAGCCAAATAGCCTTCATCTGCAGGGAGTTTGGGAAATCATTAAAGCATGTCCTTGAGGCAATTATTGGATATGCAATAATGGTACTCTGACATCTACAGGCAGAAAAAAGCAAGAATGGAGGAGGCCGAGTGTAATCACAGTAAAAAGGCACAGTCTCTTGCTCAGTTACCAGACTTGAGTTGGAAATGCTAATTGAAGAGGTGGTTGGGACCTTAGCGGGAGGGACCTTGCAAAACCACAAGTATATGATACAATGGTTTCTCAAAAGGACCTACGGACATTTACTTATTGTAACTGTGCACTGGGCAAAGAGGAATACCCAAACATTGCAAGGATTATTGGACCCAAGGTCTGAGTTGACATTTTATTCCCAAGACCTGAGGAGTCATTATGACCCTGTTAGAATGACAACTTATGGGGATCTTACAAATGGAGAGCTAAAGTCTAATGTATCATAGGTCGACTGAGTCCATGGACCTAACCAGTTGTCACTTCCTCAATTCCAAAGTGTAATTGGAAATGATATAGTTGGAATAACCACCACATTGGGTCCCTGACCCATGAAATAAGAGCTGTGATAGGAAAAACCAGTGAAAAGCCTCTTAAATCCCACCTATTCCCCCCAAATCAGTAAATCAGAATCAATATTGCATTAGGTAGGAAAGGGGAGATGAGTGCCACCATTAAGGACCCGAAACACACTGGGAGTGGGTGGGCAGGAAGGAACAGTTACGGTCTCTTTCATATCCCTGCTGAATCTGCTGGTTTGACCTCTGCACAAACCAGATGGATTGGTGGAGAACGACTGTAACATACGTCAAGGCAAGTAGTCAAACATAGTAGTGCTGATCCCCTTGCTGGGCTGGACACAGTACTGTTGCTGGAGCAGATATGCTGGTAGGCCTCAGGTACACAGTATGCAGCTACTGATTTAGCAAATGTGTTTTCTATTCCAGCTAGAAAAGAGGATCAGAAAGTTCATGCTCACATGAAATGAACAGTATTCACTTAATTTTGCCCTTGGGCTATGAACTCTCCTGTACCCTCTCACAGTCCAGAGATCCGAGGCTGACTGGACATGCCAGAACATTTGTACATTACACTGACGACTTCCTGCTGACTGGACAGGACAAGCAAGAGATGGCTGACACGCAAGAAGTCCTGGTAAGATACATGGGGTCAAAAGGGTGAGAAATTAATCCTATTGAGGTTCAGCAATTCGCCATGTTAGTGACTTTTTAGGGGGTCCAGTGATCAGGAGGCATACCACAAGATCTCTTCCAAAGAGTAACTGCTGCGTTGGAAGGAAGCATTGTGGCTGGTAGACCCATTTGAGTTTTGTAGGTAACACATTTCATACCTAAGAATACCTACTGCTTTGGCTCATCTGCTACGAGTCTTGAGCAGAGCCCAGATCAGGAAATAGTTCTCTATCAGGTCTAGGCCACGGTACAAGCAGCCCTGATGCGTGGGTCACAAGACCCAGTAGACCTTATAGTGAAGGAAGTATGGTGGAAATGGTGGAAAAAGATCAGTGTGGAGTTTATAGTATGCCCCAGTGGGAGAATCACGACTCTGGGATTCCACTAAGGCCATGTTACCTGTAGTGCAAAATTAGACCTTTTGAGAAGTGGCTTCTGGAATGTGACTGAGCTCTGGTAGACACAGAATGCTTGACGATGAGCACCAAATAACCATGTGTCCACAACTGCCCATTTTGAGCTGAATTTAGAATCACCAAGATATAAAGCTGTATGAACTCAGCAGCAGTCTATCAGAAGACAGAAATGGTACATCTGAGACAGAGCCCAAGCAGGATCAGAGGGCAAAACAAGCTATATGTGTAGGTAGCACAGATTTCCACATCACCCACCACAGTTGCCATCAGTGTCGTACCTCCATTTGCACCAACAGCCTTGAGGGGTACACCAGCTGAAGGAAGTGATAAGGCCCAAGCTTCATTTACTGAGGGGTTGGCTTGGCTCAGTATGTGGGCACACGGCACAAATGAACCATGGCTGCCTTAAAAACACATAAAGGGGATGGCCTTGAAAGACAGTGGTGAGGAAAAATCATCCTAATGGGTAGATGTATGAGCAATATACCAGGTTATCATTATATGTAGAAGCAGCCTTAGATGAGATTCCTGGGCAATGGTCGATGGCAGGTCAGGATGTGGAAGGAAAGGCTAGAAGATCCGACAAGGAAGTCTGGAGTAGATGTATATGAATGGACATGAGGGAGTCAAGAGTAAGTATTTTGCACAACAGGCTAATGTTCACCAACAAAATCAACCACGGAAGAGGCACTGAAGCACCAAGTAGACAGAATAACTACTAGTCGACATCAGCCAACCTGGAAAAGGCACACGGGGCACATGGATAGAATGGCTTGTGGCAGAGATAGAGGCTATGAATGAGCTCAACAAAATGAAGTCCCACTTACCAAAGCGGATCTAGCTATTTTGTCTCTGACTGTCCTGTTAATGACAGAGACCAATGTTGTGTTGATATGGCACTATTTATTCCCTGAGGAGAACAAACGACCACTTGGTGTCAACGCGACTATATGATCCCTTTGATCCTAGAAGGGCCAGCAATTCATTTTCACAGACATACCAATGCCAGTATCCCCAGATATCGGTCACAAAATCTTAGCCAGCACCACTCTCTGGGCATTAACAGAATGCCTAATTCACAGGCATTAATCCCACTCCACACAGTATTCATCTAGGGAACCTACTTCAAAACAAGGAGTAAGAGACTGCACCCAACCAAAGGACCCCACTGATCACAGCACAAACGCAGTGCAGAAATAAACAATCTCATAGATTACTGGAATGGCCTAATGACATAATGTAAGCACCAGCTCAGATACAGTATGGTAAAAGGATGGGGTACCATCCTTTCGAATGATTAAATCCACTAAATCACAAACCTTTGTGTCCAAGGACCAAGAGGGAAAAGGAATGGCTCCACCATTCCTAGTGACCCACTACTTCCCATTCCTAAAACTCTGGGCTCTACAGGGTTGGAAGAATTGGTTGCCAAAGGGGGGCATACTCTTGCTAGGGAACACTGCAAAAGTCCTACTGAACTCTTAAGTTATGACTCTCACCAAGGTACTATGAACTTATATCCAGGGACCAAAAGCCTAGAAGAGTGGTCAGCCTCCTGGCAGGAGTACTGACTTTGACCAGAGGCAGTTAGGGGGAGATGGGAAAAATACGTGCAGAACACAGGCAATCCCTTTGGGGTCTACTGATATTCCCTTGCTCCACTGCAACTTTTTTAAAAGATTTTATTTATTTATTTGACAGATAGAGGTCGCAAGTAGGCAGAGAGGCGGGCAGAGAGAGAGGAGGAAGCAGGCTCCCTGTTGAGCAGAGAGCCTGATGTGGGGCTCGATCCCAGAACCCTGGGATTATGACCTGAGCCGAAGGCAGAGGCTTTAACCCACTGAGCCACCCAGGCGCCCACTCCACTGCAACTTTTAATGGGTATGTATAGGAACCCCTATCTGGGGAGGTTATGATTACCAAAGGTTCAGTCCCCTCAGGAATGAAGGTTTGGGTCATACTATTAGGTAAACCATCAAAACTTGCTAAACTGACAGCTGTAGATAAGGAAAATTTTAAAAAGATGACAGAAGACAGAGAAGATGAGTATTAGTTGTGGCCCTTCAGAGAGAGGGGTTACTGACCATCCAAATTCCCTCTTCTAAAAGAGATGCATGGAAATCATGGAGGAGTTGTTCCCCAAACCTGTAAGAAGTGGATCTGTACGGCACAAGGGGTGCAGCTATAGAGTCCTAGGTGAAGGGTCCCAGCTGCCACTACTGCATTACTATAAGGTCATGCTTCCCCATGGCTGCTCCCTGCCACCGACTGGGCACAGTGAGGGTAGTAGTGCTGGCCCATTCTTGAATACAGGACTCCTCAGACAAGCAACTTTGGTTCCAGGACACCCCATCAGCCTGGCCCAACCTTTCTTAGAGTGACACTGCATTCTGAGGCTCCCCTCCTTTCTTCCTGCTCTCCTGTCACAGGTGTCAAGCCTACAGATCAGAGAGAAGGCTCTCCCTGCGTACTCCTGCTCCCGCCTCTTAGTCTTTTACAGATAGTTCCTGCCAACAAATCTCTTGCACATCTAATCCCATTTAGGTATCTGCTTCTTGTAGGACTCAAATTTCACCAAAGCTCATGTTTTTGGATCAGTTTTTGCATACATACATCTCTAAAACCACACCCAAACTAACAGCAGTATAGTGCGAAAGACAACTTGGTTCACCTTGCAAATCAAATGATAAGGCCTACAACAGATCACATGAATTAAAAGGTAGATGGTTGATCTCTTCTCAGCCTTAAGAAAAATATGGTGAAATACCCAAGAAAGCATAAATAATACAACAATCATACAGCTTAAGAAACGAACATCAGTAAGAGTGGAAGTCTCCTGTATATCCCACCTTATCTTCCTCCCACTCTCCAGATTTTAATCATTCCTACGCATTTCTTTATATTTTTACTACAAATATATGCATTCTTAACATATATATTTGTGTGTTTTAAAAAATCTCTTCTTTCAGTTTTTTATTTGTTTAAGTAGTTTCCACAACCAGCGTGGAACTCAATGCCGGGCTTGCATCGATGACCCTGAGTTCAAGACCTGAGCTGCAATCAAGAGTTGGATGCTTAACCAACTAAGCCACCAAGGTACCCCTAAAAATCTCTTCTTTAGTTAAAATTTCCTAAAATTTGGGTTATATATACTCATAATAAAGTTTACTAAACCACAATAAAAAAAGAAAACCAACACAGAAGTATTTACGATTTACCGAGAATGAAGAGAAATTAGCAGAAATGGATCAAAGTTACAACGCTGAGAAAAGGATGTTTTATTATCTTAACTTGACCATAAATTATAATGATTATTTATAAAAGTTATATAAATGCAACCTGATTATCTTTAAAGTCTCAAAGAGCCAAATACAAATAAAGCACAGAAAATTAAATGAATTAAAAAAAGTTCTGAAATAATTCTTCCACACAATATATGTAATCACCGGAAGAATCATTGCAATAATTACCCAAAGTAATACTAAAAGTAACAAAAGAGATGTTTGGTCATAAATGTAAATTCAAATGTACAGTATATCTACAATAATAGATCAAAGTGTATCTGCAATTTCTAGCAGTAATAAACATGTTAGTCGGCAATACTGTATTCTTCAATGAAATAAGCAAGCAGATCAAGGATAAAATGTTGGATAGTCTTATCAACCAGGCCATCTTTCAGGACAGTTTTTCAGGGTAGTGTTCTACACATGTAACTGAGCTGTTTGTCATTATTCTAGAGCCAGTAATTTATTTGCACAGTCTGCACATCAAAATAAAACAAATAATTATACATCAGGATTGGTAGGAATACCAAGTATTATTTCACAACTGCCACTACGTGTTTCTTCTTCTCTGACACAATTGCCACAGATCCAGGCTTGCTATGTTTGAGACGATTCACCTCCCTAGAAATAAACAAAATACACAAAACATAAGCAAGTTTATGAGAAATCACCTTAACCAAAGAAAACTGTCTTAAAAAAAACAGGGTTTTCTTTCACTAGAAAACTCCTTACTGAAAAAGAAAAATGTTTTCACAAGGAGACTGGGTAAAAAGTAGCTAGAAGTCAACTTGGTTAATTTAACTGTTTCTTCTCTCATCACATTAATAGTGTCCTATTCCAAAGAGAAGAACATTCTACTGGGAAAATGGCAGTGAGCTCTGCTTCAGATTCAAAATTCTATGATGAATAAAAATTTTTCTAACATGTTTCAATAAATGGATGCTATGAGTTCTTTGCATTCTTTAACTTGGAAAATATACAATAGCTCTTAATTCCAGCTTCACTAGAAAGAATTTTTTAAAACATTATTTACAATACTTTTTTTAGAATGAGCAAAAATGTTTCCTTATTTTGATGGAATTCATTTCTACTGGTTGACCTTTAAACATAATCTCAAAAAATAGGTAATAGAAATTCTCAGATAATCACTGTTTCCCCTTTAAAGGAAGATTTCAAAAACATCTCTACTGTGTAACGGCACATAAATTACTCCCTTGAAAGGCATGTTTTTGTTTATTTCCGGTGATCTGAGAGGGGAAGTTAAAGAAGGGTACTGAGAGAGAATCAAATGCCCCAAATCATACTTTCGTCGGCGAGCTTCCTTCATGATCCGCTGTTCCTGGATCTGGCTGTAGATAGATTTTGGTAGATGTCGGTGACGAGCAATGCGTTTTATATGAGGATGATGTTGAAATTTCTCCTTCAACTTCTGGTTATAATCTTTGGCTGCTTTTTCTCGTGATGTAAGCTGGAAAAATGCATTTTGATATTTCAGCGAATGGTTTATTCTTTTCTTCAAATAATAAAGCTAGGAAGCACCGTTTCTCCCAAAAACTAAACTTCTAGGACATGCAACCAAAATTGCCGAGGTAATTCTACCCTTAACATGGTTATGTGAATCCTATCTCTGCAAACACTGGGCTGTATGCCTCCAATGTAGACAGATGCCACCAACTTAAAATATCAGTCCTGAGGGAGTAGGGTTATGTGGGCCACTGAATCAGACCTTCTCTGGGTATAAACAACATAGAAAAAGCACCTAAATTAATCCCTCGACATTTTTCCGTAAAAATAACTACTGAAACAGAAAACAAAAAGTGTTCAATTCTGTGATGACAGGGTCTTGTTTAACAAATGTTAAGGATATGATTTAGAGGCACTCATAATGATGAACTGAAACCTAGCATAGTGTGATATTTACCAATCACTAAGCCTAAAATAAAATTGCCTTTAATTACTGTTTATCGTATCTTGATTTTCCTTACTGGGGATACGTAGAAAACAACTCACACTTAACCTTTTCTTTTTAAACTTAGTATTTGTTGTTGACAAAAACACTCATGTTTGATATGAAATGTTTTCATAGCAAAAACATGAGACATTCAGAAAAACATCAGAAACAAAAAACCAACCATAACCTCCAATCCAGAGGTAGCTAGCCAATGATAATATGTGTTGTATCTTCACAGAATCTTCTTTATAGTCTGAAGATTTCTATATTTTTTTTAAGTTAGTGTGTCACTGTTTTTGAAATTAAAAGACCTCCCAGGCACTTGTAGACTTTATGTGCCTGATTATTATTCCTTTAACAGAGGAAGCAAGCATTCTCAGTTCTAACCTACTAGTCTTTAGACGTTCTCTCCTTATCTCAAGAAAAACACAGAGAATCAAGAAGACTCAAATATTATCAAATATTTTAATTAACAAAGGCCTCTGGAGGTGCCTATAACATAAAAAAGTAAACCTCAATACAGCCTTGTCTATTTTGTTGCTAACTTATTTTTTATCACAACTATGCCAGTTTGATCAAAATACTTAAGAATATTTCTGGGGTGCCTGGGTGGCTCAGTGGGTTAAAGCCTCTGCCTTCAGCTCAGGTCATGATCCCAGTGTCCTGGGATAGAGCCCCACATAGGGCACTCTGCTCAGTGGCGAGCCTGCTTCCCCCCTTTCACTCTGCCTGCCTCTCTGCCTACTTGTGATCTCTCTCTGTCAAATAAATAAATAAAATCTTTAAAAAAAAAAACAAAAAAAAACAAAATACTTAAGAATATTTCAAATAAATTCTTTACAATATAGTATTACCCACTAAATTAGAAACTAGTTTTATGACAATGAAAGAAAACGGGTTCTCTTACCACACCCAATTTTTCAGAAGCATTAGCTTTCCACAGACGAATGTTCATTTCATCAGATCCACACATAATATATTTGCTGTCAGAAGTCCATTTTACACAGATAACATGTTGCATTCTCTTTGTGTGATAGACTTCCCTATAAAAGAGGAATTAAGTAAAAATTAGGATTTTAAAAATTTAATTTTATTACTATTTTTTAAAGATTTTATTTATTTGACAGAGAGACACAGAGAGAGCACAAGCAGGCAGCGCGGCAGGCAAAGGGAGAGGGAAAAGCGGGCTCTCTGCTGAGCAGAGAGCCCGATATGGGGCTCGATCCCAGGACCCTGGGATCATGACCTGAGCTAAAGGCAGCCACTTAACCAACTGAGCCACCCATGCACCCCTAAAATTAGGATTTTGATACAGATTTTCTTTAACCATTGCCCATCAAGTATCTGGATAGCATTTCTGAGTCTTAAGAGAGTATAAAAGGGAAATACAAATTAATCTTAACATACTTTTATTGAACCAGACTAACAAGGTTCTATGCTAAGCCCTGGGGAGTTAAAACAAAACAAAACAAAACAAAACTCCTGCCCTCAGAGGAATTAGAATCCAATAAGAAAAATAAATATAAACAAGCTAAACAAAACCAGATGCCCAGGAAAGTTCACAAAATTACTGAAGGCATATATATAACACAATAAAATATGCTGAAGCTAGAGTAATTTTTTAGCAAAAAGAAACTGTCTCCTCCCTCCAAATCAATTCAGGTCAATAATCTTTTTTTTTTTTTCATTTTACTGGAAAATAAAATAAATGTAATAGCTTTCAAAGAGCACATCCTGGTATGTTGATACTAATGTATGATTTTTGTTTTGGTCGAATTGTTTAAAAAGCTTAATTAAAGTGAGAGTTGATGATTTACATGTGTGAATGGAAAGGGAGGGCTATAGAAGTGTCTGATGAGTTAAGAATCATTTAATAAATGGAGATGTAAAATATCATACCTATTTGGAAAGGCTGTGAAACACGCTAAGTGAATTCACAGAAGATTCTATATTGGGAAAGTGTTAAAGAGAGCATTAAAAGACAAGTAAAAGGCAAGGTCAGGAAAAATAGAGACTTTTGGAGAAATGAGTTTTCCATATCTGGGTTAGACAATTCAAAACAGAGACTTGACAGAAAGGAACCAAACTTGGCCATTTTGCACAGTAAAAGAAAACCCACACATCATGACCAGATCAGAAAGAATTCGGAGTTATAAAAATTATCTGAGATACACTCACCAAACCAGTCTTTTACACTGTTTCTAACGGATATGTTTTGAGCTCGAGTGAACATGTAGAGAAACCCAAAGAAATTTATTTCTAAAAGGGGAAGGATGGTTAGAAAGAACATCCTATTATAATAAAAACTAGATGAGACAAACTGCATTTCTTTCCCCTCTTAATGCTCTGCTTTTACAAGATTCTTTTCTCATAATCTCTACCTACTTAAGTGGCCCTTCTTTTCTTTAGCACTATAATGTATGTATGTACGTATGTATGTAAAAAGATTTTATTTATTTGTCAAAGAGAGAGAAAAAGAGAGTGAGCACAAGCAGGGGAAACAGCAGGCAGAGGGAAAGGCAGGTCCCTCACCAAGCAAGGAGCCTGATGGGGGACTCAATCCTAGGACCCTGGGATCATAACCTAGGCTGAAGGCAGACCTAACCAACTTAGCCACTCAGGCATCCCATAATGAATTTAAATGACAGGAAATATGGGGTGCCTGGATGGCTCTGTTGGTCAAGTGTCTGCCTTTGGCTCAGGTCATAATCTCAGGGTCCCTGGATAGAACCAGGTCCCTGCTCAGTGGGGAGCCTGCTTCTCCCTCTCCCTCTGCAGCTTCCCCTGCTTGTACTTGATCACACTCTCTCCCTCAAATAAATAAATAAATAAAATCTTTAAAAAAAAATAAATGATAGGAAAATTCAATCAGGCTTTCACCATTAAAAATAATCTGTTGATATATGAAACCAGTCAAATCCAATGGTTAGTTCCTTAACCAAAACAGATCCTCCTTAATTGTAAAGTATGCGGAATTCTTAACTTCTAGATACCTTTATGTATGTTAAAGATTTTAAAAAGCTCACTGAAAGTCATGCTATTAGGAGATACATTTTAAAAACTTAAATTCTTTACTATACAGTCAAAGTACTCCATGTGAATGCAAGTAATTTATTTGTTTGCTTAGTAAATATTGAATGAAATCCCAATAAGCCTAATTTCATTTTTTTAAGCTCTCAAATTAGTAACTTCATTGTTTTTTTTATTATGTTCAGTTAGCCACCACACAGTACATATCATTAGTTTTGATGTGGTGTTCAACGATTCATTAGTTGCATATAACACCCAGTCTTCCTTAATACCCATCACGTGGCTACCCCATCCCCCAACACCCCTCCCCTCTGAAACCCTGTTTGTTTCCGGGAGTCCATAGTCTCTAATGGTTTGTCTCCCTCTCTGATTCCCCCCACAATCAGTTTTCCCTCCTTTCCCCTATGGTCCTCTGTGCTTTTTGTGTTCCATGAGTGAAACCATGTGATAATTACCTTATCACAGTACTACTCTGTTTAACTTATTTCACTTAGCATAATCCCCTCCAGGTCCATCCATGTCGATGCAAATGGTGGGTATCCATTCTTTCTGATGGCTGAGTAATATTCCATTGTATATATGTACCACACCTTCTTTATCCATTCCTCTGTTGAAGGGCATCCCAGCTCCTTCCACAGTTTGGCTATTGTGGACATTGCTGCTATGAACATTGGGGTGCATGTGCCCCTTCTTCTCACTACATCTGTATCTTTGGAGTAAATAGCTAGTAATGCAATTGCTGGGTCGTAGGGTAGCTCTATTTTTAACTTTTTGAGGAAACTTCATACTATTTTCTAATTTCAAATACTGACTTACCTGTAGTTTTTAAATAATCTATTAAAAATTTACTTCAAAAATACATGTTACCACTTTAAGGTCTTTCAGAGAAAAACAGTTTAAAAATAAAGATTATTCAAAGCACTGGCTGTGCTATTTGAGTTTGTAATAAACATTACATAAAAAGCAGACCACAGAACAAACCAAAACTACCTGTTCAGCAGATGAAGGCAAAGATTAGAGGAAATACCACTTATATCTAAACCCAACAACAAGTACTATATATCACCACAGTGATTACAAAATCTCTAAATGACATCAGAAGGCAACTCCCTGGAAATGGGGCTTAAGAACACCTTACTTCATACAACTTTGGAAATTACTTGAGCTTTTTAGATAGACCCATGTTTGGATGCCCACAATAGCTTTGGAATAATTCAGTTTGAACTCAGCTGCGGGCCCTTGAGATGATAGGCGTCCAAACATTCTCAATTCTCTCTTTCTTTTGTTCTTTTCCCATTCTTTCTCTCTGCTTATGCATCCTATTAGAAAAGTGCTGTCCTGAATGGGAGAAGATATTTGCAAACAACATATTAGCTAAAGGGCTAGTATCCAAAATCTATAAAGAGCTTAGCAAACTCAACACCCAAAGAATAAATAATCCAATCAAGAAATGGGCAGAGGACATGAACAGACATTTCTGCAAAGAAGACATCCAGATGGCCAAAAGACACATGAAAAAGTGCTCCACATCACTCGGCATCAGAGAAATACAAATCAAAACCACAATGAGATACTATCTCACACCAGTCAGAATGGCTAAAATTAACAAGTCAGGAAATGACAGATACTGACGAGGATGCGGAGAAAGGGGAACCCTCCTCACTGTTGGTGGGAATGCAAGCTGGTGCAACCACTCTGGAAAACAGCATGGAGTTTCCTCAAAAAGTTGAAAATAGAGCTACCCTATGACCCAGCAATTGCACTACGGGGTTATTACCCTAAAGATACAAACGTAGTGATCCGAAGGGGCACGTGCACCCGAATGTTTATAGCAGCAATGTCCACAATAGCCAAACTATGAAAGAACCTAGATGTCCATCAACAGATGAATGGATAAAGAAGATGTGGTATGGGGCACCTGGGTGGCTCAGTGGGTTAAAGCCTCTGCCTTCGGCTCAGGTCGTGATCCCAGGGTCCTGGGATCGAGCCCCGCATCGGGCTCTCTACTCAGTGGGGAGCCTGCTTCCTCCTCTCTCTCTCTCTCTGCCTGCCTCTCCGCCTACTTGTGATCTCTCTCTCTGTGTCAAATAAAATCTTTAAAAAAAAAAAAAAAAAAAAGAAGATGTGGTATATATACACATGGAATACTATACAGTCACCAAAAGAAATGAAATCTTGCCATTTGCGACAACGTGGATGGAACTAGAGGGTATTATGCTTAGCGAAATAAGTCAATAGGAGAAAGACAACTATCATATGATCTCCCTGATATGAGGAAGTGGAGATGCAACGTGGGGATTTGGGGGGTAGGAAAAGAATAAATGAAACAAGATGGGATTGGGAGGGAGACAAACCATAAGAGACTCTTAATCTCACAAAACAAACTGAGGGTTGCTGAGGGGAGGAGGGCCGGGAGAAGGGGCATGGGGTTATGGACATTGGGGAGCGTATCTGCTATGGTGAGTGCTGTGAAGTGTGTAAACCTGGCGATTCACAGACCTGTACCCCTGGGGATAAAAATATATTATATGTTTATAAAAAAAATTTAAAAAAAAAATTGCTGTCCTACTATGGCAGCTGTGATGCAAAGAAAATAACGGAGGGCCACATTCCCCTAATTCTTAGTATCTTCCAGGGATGTGAGAAGAATGCAAACCAGCAGCCCTGCTGCGGGCCTGACTGAATAATCCCAACAAACCATTCATGACAGTTTGCAGAATATCCAGTAAGTTGTAAAGGAGGCAACAGCCATATGAAAACCAACACCAGGAATTTTACGTGCAGAAAACGGAATGAAGATCAACGTCATCAGAATACTCCAGTCATTATGCTTTTGATTCAAGCACCTTTTTAATGAGATACATAACAATGATGACAATGGCATGCTGATAATCAGTGATACAAGAACGGTTAGGAATCAGTATGGCTCCCTCCAATCACAGGGTAGGAAGACACAACTACCGTAAATAAAAATACCAAAGAGTTAAACAAAAGCAGGTTGGCTGGGACCAAAAAAGATATGGATGAGTTGCCTGACTCTGAGGAGTCACTGAAAGACTTTTTTGTTTCTGGAATGAGGCTGGGATGAGGGTGAAGAAACTGAGGTGTAGACACAGGGTCGGCACCTGCACAACCCTGACAACAATGAGGAACTCCTTAAAATTCTGCACCCAAAGCCCCTGACTTAGATGTACCTGATTTCTGACCCTGCTAGAACAGAACGACCCTGAGTCAGAAAAAGGACACAATACGAACTTTGAAAATGAACATCACTCAAAAGACTCAAAAAGGTTCAGTACTACAGAAGCTAAGCTAGTTTTCAGTACAAGTAGTGACCAAAATTCTCATCACTGCACTAAAATGGTGAGATTTCTCCAGCCTGCTGTAATTACAACACCAAATTTATGTTGTCTAGATTTATTTTTCCCTTAAGGGAAGGAAGGGTCCCAGAACAACTCTCTACTACCATCATCAAGAGCCAGTCCTCGTTAGTGTAGTGCTGAGTATCCCCCACCTGTCTACAATCATCAATCTTTATGAAGCTAGGTCCACTGCTTTACCAGCTCCATACCATGGTCCTCTGGCACAGATCATCACCTCCACTCTCATTATATATGTTTTCTGTTCCTTCCTCTCCCAGATTCCACTCACTCCTCTCCTTTCCTTTCCTACCTCTAATCACTGTTACCTTTCACCAAGTCCGTCTTTTCCCCATTGAGCTTTAATTCCACCACGTAAGAGTAGGACACTCAATCAAGTGTATGTATTTATGCATATGCATGCGCTGCGTATATATATTTATATGGTATTTTAGAGAGAATATTCATTTATTTTTTAAATTTTAATGTCAATACTATTACTATATTAAAATGGAGGTAATCATATCTTCAAGTGTGAACACCACTATAATACTTTAATTATCATTTAAAAAAATTTATTTTAAGTAATCTCTATACCCAACATTGGGCTTGAACTCATGACCCTATGGACTGAGCCAGCCAAGTACCCTAATAATCATTATTTTTTACAGGAAAATTTCCCCCAACTTACTTGGTTTTGCTCTGAATATGCTTCTAGGGACAATATAAAGCATTACTAAGGAACAACAAGAGTATGCATGGAAGTGCTCTATAAACCACAGCACACTATACAAGCAGCAATTATCTTACACATGAGTTAGGTTTTATAGTCAGCCCATAAAGCAAAAAACCAAGTGCAGTCAAAACTATCCTTAAAACCTTGAAATGCCATAGTTCTCTATTAACTAACTCAATACAGCACTATATAATAGAGATGTATAAATATACATTACATTCAGTAATACATAATATGTAGTAAAGGGCCAAGCTCTACAAAGTAACATGTATCTTCACACTAGAATTACACTGGATGTGCTTACAGAACAAGAGACAAATGGAGGACAGGACAGCTGAGTATCCTATCTCCCACTTCGTGGTCATTCCAGGGCATGTAACTACTAGTGGAATGGAGGAAGAATGGTCCTCACAATTTAAACTGTTTTTTTTCTCTTTTTTATTTTTGCTTTGAATGTATAAGAGCTGAATTTGAATAAGAAAAAAAAAAAGGTAAAGTATTGTTATTAATTGCTCTTAAACTATATGAGGGAAAACTTTTCTACATTCTTAACATTTTAAAAATTTTTTAATAATTTTTTAAAGTTTATATTTTAGAGCAATGAAAATATTATCATGATGAAAATATATCATTATATATTTGTTCAAACCCAAAGAATGCAGAACACAAAGAGTGAACCCTAAAGATAAAACATGGATTTAAGGTGATTAAGATGTGTCAATGCACATTTATTCTTATTACTAACAAACGTACTATTCCGGTGAATGATGTTGATAATGGGTGGAGGGGTAGCAGCTCTCCATGCATTGGGGCAGAGAATATATAACAAATCTCTGGGGGTGCCTGGGTGGCTCAGTTGGTTAAGCATGTGCCTTCGGCTCAGGTTAAGATCCCAGGGTAGGATCAGGTTCCATATCAGGCTCCGTGCTCAGCGGGGAGCCTGCTTCTCCCTCTACCCTCTGCCATTTCCCCTGCTTGTACTCTCATGCTCTCTCTCAAATGAATAAATAAAATCTCAAAAAAACAAAACAAAACAAAATGTTACCTTCCTCTCAATTTTGTAGTAACCTAAAAATGCCCTAAAAAAATTAAGTCTTGGGGCGCCTGGGTGGCTCACTGGATTAAGGCCTCTGCCTTCAGCTCAGGTCATGATCCCAGGGTCCTGGGATCGAGCCCCGCATTGGGCTTCCTGCTCAGCGGGGAGCCTGCTTCCCCCTCTCTCTCTGCCTGCCTCTCTGCCTACTTGTAGTCTCTGTTAAATAAATAAATAAAATCTTTAAAAAAAAAATTAAGTCTTAAAAAAGAATGTACTATAAACACTTAAAAACAACTCTGAAATAAAGGCAAACACTAAGATTTCTTATCAAGAAATTATATAAAGGTAGTTTCCTACTCAGAGAAAGAAACTGCCCAGTAGGCTCACGTTTTGCCCATAGATGACACAGTGGAAGTCGGTACCCTAAGTCACAGTACCTGTATACGAGTCCCCCATGTACACATAACAAAACCACCTTTCAAAAAAGGTAAATGATGATCAAGATATGAACAAATAGTTTACTGGTAGTCACATACCTGCTTCTACTTTTGTCCACAGGAAAGATACGAATAGATTTATCAAAACTAGCAGACACAAACTCTTTCCCAGTGGGAGAATAATCCACATCAAGCACCGCAGACACATGATCCATATGTACCATTACAGGAGTGTCCAGGGCACGCATATCAAACGTATACAAGCTGTAAAAGAATGTTTGATTATTCCATACAAATAATAATAATGCCGTACTAAGAAACAATAAGGAAATTAAGACCACTGGTGGCTAAATAATGCACACCTAAATATATAGCTTTTTTACACAGCAGCTAAGGGATGGGGAAAAATATTACCAGTTTTTATTATTCCTAAAGATTACATTTACACACTTTCAACCTCATAAACATAAATCTCATTGTAGGAAATGTAATGCTTTCAAAAAAGTACAGAGTACAAAACTTACCTTTAATTCTACCACCCAGAGGAACAGGTAGTGCAGTATAATTACTTCTAATCTTTTCACTACACTAATATTTAGATATATACTCCTAACAAAATTGGTAATACTGTATAAAGTTCTATATTCTGATATTTTATGTAGCATACGGTAAACATTTATGGTTGCATATTTAAATAAGTTAAAATAATTTATACTTAAAATTTTAAATCTATTTATTTATAATTTAATAAAAAATTTCCAACTTTCAATTTTAGGTAATTCTTGAATTAAATTCCAGCATTAGAATTTCTGAAATTCAATCTGTAACTGAATGGGACAGATTCAATTAAATCTGGACAAATACCTACAAGTAAATTACTAAGTCCAAAAGCACGAGAACTTTTAAGGTTTCGTATAGTTGACAAGTCATTTCCAACAAAGTTCCACTCCTGTCAGTGATATATAAAAGTGACTATGGCTTTTCAAAGGGTGTATTAAAATTAGAAAGCTATACTTTTTGCACAGCTGGTAAAATAAAAAAAATGAGTTCATGATTTTTAAGATTTAAAGATCCTTAATCAAGCTAAAAGAATAATGCTTCAGATGAACCAATGTGCACAAAGGACAACAGTAACACAGCATTATTGTATTCAAGTTCCTAATATTAAATGCTTCAAAATGCTAAGATTATTGAGAAGTTTGAGAAGAAACCAGGTATCTACGTAACTTCAAAGTATCTCTCCAAAGATTTGTGTTAATTACCAAAGGAAAAAAAATAGTAACTTTATAGTGCAGAAACTTGGCAGATACCATCTTAACTACGTTACCGAGATTAATACCACCAATAATAAGACAAAGTGACATCATGCACCCCTGAAGTGATGAACCAAGAAGGGCACATCAGTTTTGAGGTATTCTTGCAAAAATTGCATAATCTCAATCTAATAATGAGAAAACATCAGGTCAGCCCAAATTAAGAGCAGTCTACAAGATAAACTAACAAGTAAATCCTTTCCAAAAGGACTAAGGTCATCAAAGACAAGGGAAGATTGAGGAACAGTCACAAACTGAGCAGACTAAGGAGACATGACAATTAAATGCAACGCAGAATCCTGTGTTAGATTCTAGAACAGACAAAAAAAACATTAATGGAAAGACTGGTGATGGAATAAAGTCTGTAGTTTAGTTAACCGATGTCAAAGGCAGTGTACCCATGTTAATCTCTCGTTTTTGCTAACTGAACTATAGTTACATAAGATGTTAACCTTAGAGGAAGCTGGCTGACAGATATTATTTTTGCATCTTTTCAATAAGCCTCAAATCTCAGATTTCCCAGGGATGGAGACAAACCATAAGAGACCCTTAATCTCAGGAAACAAACTGAGGGTTGCTGGGGGGTGAAAAGGGGGAAGGGACAGGGTGGCTGGGTTATGGACTTTGGGGAGGGTATGTGCTATGGTGAGTGCTATGAACTGTGTAAGACTGATGATTCACAGACCTGTACCCCTGAAGAAAATAATACATTATATGTTAATTTTAAAAAATTTAACAAAAAATTTCACCTAAGTAAAAAATGTAAGACTTCTAAGTCTTCTAAGTTACCTTTACATGGAGTCTATACGTGTTAAGGTAAGACTTGAAATTTTATTTTTCCTTTTGTCTTACTAAAGTCAACAGTGATGCTGATAACATGACTATATGAGTATCAGCAGTGAAGAACTACACATTTTGTAGGCAAATATTTTTAGTTTCTATTAAAACATGTATGATTCAGTCACTATATGGCATAGAGATCAGACAACTTTTTCATGAAAGGCCACATAATAAATATTTTTAGCTTTGTGGGCCACATGGTCTCTGTTGCAACCACTCAACTCAGACATGAGAGCACAAAAGCAGCCATATTCAATATATAAATGAGTATCATTATAATCCAATAACTATTTACAAAAACAGGCAGTAGACAGGATTTGGTCCATGGGTCATAGTTTACTGTCTCTGGTCTATATCACTGAGAATATTTTCCTAAGACACAAGTGACAATTTTCTATCTTATATTTGAAGGAATACTATCTAGGAAAACGTATTTCATTAGCAAAATTTATACAGTTGAGCCACTTCACATAGAACCAAATAAGTTTTCTGGGTTTTTTTGTTTTGTTTTGTTTTTTTATTTGACAGACAGAGATCACAAGTAGGCAAAGAGGCAGGCAGAGGGAGAGAGAGGAGGAAGCAGGCTCCCCGATGAGCAGAGACCCCGATGCGGGGCTCAATCCCAGGACCCTGAATCGTGACCTGAGCCGAAGGCAGAGGCTTAACCCACTGAGCCACCCAGGTGCCCCTAGAACCAAATAAGTTTTAAAAAGAAGAAAACTTACTTGTAATCTTCATTTGCTGCAGTAAAAACGAAAGCTTCCATAGGGTTCCAACAAATTGTATTTGTTCTCATATCTAAGATGACCTGAGAAAGGAAGAATACACTAACCCATCACCGTGAAATCAATTCCCTCTCAAATGAATTAAGTCTCCCACTTCACATCCTTTCTTTTTTAACTGATTTAAGCACATATTTAGTAAACCCCTATTATGTGCACAGTACTCAGGTTGGTGCAAGAGGAAAAGAAATCAATCACTAATTGTTTCCGGAGCACACAGGCTAAACAGTAAAGACTGAAAAATACAAAAACGCTTAATAAATGGTCCCTCAACCTCGAATAACTTATCATTTAGTCAGAAAAATGAGATATATGTAAGAAAAGTTAAAATATAATAAAAACAGTAAATGATTAAGTATCAAATTGGGGGCAAAATTAACAGTGATTTTAGGGTTAAAGAAGAAAGATTTTAAAAAGACAAGCATGATTTGAGCCGACGTGGGACGGACCAGCATATCTGTGTTTCTCAGCCAAGAACACTACTGGCATTTCGAATAGGATAATCTTTTGCTATGAACAACCACTGTAAATGTTTAGCCTCTCACGCACATGTCCACTAAAGGCCAGTCTCTAAAATGCCCCTCTCACATTTCTAAAAATATACCCCCGGTTGAAAACTATTAAGAGTAGGAGAGAAAGGACAGAAGAAACAATGATAGCCTACTATATAGAATAATGAAATGAAAGAAAGCAGGACCTTTGCCTCCACCAAGGTGCTACATCTAAGCACACGAAGATCAGCATGCTGGCACAGCTAAATTCTGCACTAGTTCAAGATTTAGCCAAGGCTGTGGCAAAGGTGTAACTTGTAAACATGAGTTGGAGTACTATAATAACTGCAAATAAAATTGGCACCATGTGCCATCTGTACGTACTATATGTTACCTTTACTGCCTCCCCCAAGGTGACCTGCATGTGACAAACCCTATTTAAATGTTGTCTCACTGACTGAAACAAATACATCAATGGAATGCAAACTGGGACCAGATATGGAGGGCCTTGAAAGCCAGGCTATAGTTCTTTTCTTCAACCAAAAGTAACAGAGCACCATTAAAAACAGAAAATGTAAGGGCAGACGGGCCAGAAACTACTATCTATTAAACTAGATTTCATCTTAGCATTCTGCTAATAAAATATAAAATATCACGTTTTATTCTCACCAATGTACTGGAAAATAATTATTAATATCATCATTTTATAGGAGGAACACAGATCAAGTTACCTGCTTAAGGCCTAACACCAAAGTTTATGCAAAATCTGCCCACTAGACCACATGAATGAGTGAAAGGACTAAAGTGGTACTTTGGAAAGATCATCATTTTTATGTAGTTCAAATCTCAATGAATATACTCTACTTCTAATATTTCTGAATTTATTACATGTAGTAAAAATAGTTCAGGAACAACAAAAGTATTAAAAGCATTTCTTTCATATGTGTACTATCACAACAGACCTATGGCACATGAATGGTGTCTAGGTCCTTCTGCACTCTTGAGTTTAAGCACTTGTCTTCAACTTTATACCCTTTTACTTATAATGGCACTCCTCTCTTTACTGACAATATGCCTGTCCCTCTAGAGAGTCAGCTTAAGGTTGTTTCAGCTTTGGTATCTAAGTCCTGGAATGAATGCCTTAAAACTGCTGGGGAAATGAGTCACCTTGAACAAGATAGTGCTTATCTAAACACAACCTAGTCAACTAGTATCCATCAGCATGTAATTAAACAAATAGAGCTCATTATGTGAATCTATTACAAAACATTCTGGAACAGAATCCTGCATGTGTCATTTGAAAACCATGGGGTGTGAAGTAATGGGATGCAATACTTGGAACTCTGAGCTCAGTAAGTACCAACTTCAGTGCCTAAAATTTACTGACATTATAGAAGATACAAAGTTGACTAGGATACAAAACTTAGTAAAAACTTAAGGGTCCCTAAAAAACAACAAGGAGATGAGAGGATGCCATTATAATTACTTTGGCTTCTAAGAATAAGCCTATGAAAAAATTTAATTCTGAAAAAAAAATTTGTTTCACATTTTTTGGTCACTCATCTCATCGAGGAATGCATTAACAATTGTACAAAGCAGAAAACAAACTGAAACTCACCTTTTTCAGAGGAGTAGCTTGCCTCATATCATATAGTACTATATTCCTGTCAGAAGCACAACTTCCCAAGAGAAATGTCTAAAAATAACAATCAGCAGTTAAAGGCCAGGCTTGGCAGCAAACCCTGTCCATTCAATGAACAAATGATTCAATTACCCTTAATGTTTAAGATACAAAGTTATAATATCGAAGTCCATTTTTAAGATAGAACAATGAATCACTCATAATGACTTAGCAACCTAAGTCAAGTTATTTTCATTGCTAAAATGTGTATTTTACATGCCAGTGATGGGAGTGTTCAGATAATTCAGTGTTCTTTTTATAATAGAACAGATTTTATTTATCCATTCTTTCTTTAAAAATTTTTATTTATTTACTTGAGAGACAGAGTGAGAGAACACAAGCAGGACCAGGGGCAAACGGAGAAGCAGACTCCCCAATGAACAGGGAGCCAGACATAGGACTTGATCCCAGGACACCGGCATCACGACCTGAGCCAAAGGTAGACGCTCAACTGCTGAGCTACCCAGGCGCCCCCATTTATCCATTCTTCAATTTAAACCTATTTCCTAGTTTTCAGTAGGATCACTAACACTTCAACAAACATTTTCATAAACTCAACTCTTCTTTTTCTAAGGATAAAATTTCAGTAGTGGATTACTGAGTCAAAAGAATGAACAAGTTTACGGCTTTTGATATTTAGGACTAATTGTTTTCCAAGGAGCTGTATCAATATACACTGCAGTGTGGAAATACGTCAATTTTACTGCAACCGGGAAGCATTAAGTAGTGGCATTTACAAGTTCTTATCTGTACAGAAATATTTCCTAATCATATAAACTATTGCTTTTTAATAAACATTTCCTCATGTTCACTAACTGTATAAACTAAGCCTGTTCTTTGTCCAGCTGTTTAATTGCTGCATATATAAACTAATCTTCAAAGTTGTCAAGAGATTATCATGTTAGATGGTATAAGAGAGTATCCTGATAGGTAAGTTTTACACTCTCAGAGACTCAAAGCTAGTAAAAGGGAAAAAAGGTTAAGTCAAAGTAGCAGGGTATAAAATTGTTTGTATCAAGTATTGAAACATGAGATGCTGCAGTTCGATGTGAATTTGGCCTTGTGGTGCTATTGAGAGGTCAGATGGTCAGAAGGCACCCTTCCTGCCCCCCAGCATATCCTACCTGCAAGTCCTTAGTTTACTTATAAGTTAGTTACAGTGTTCAAGAGGCTGATGTAACTAACCCTTGGCTTTACATGAGAACAAGCCCCCTACCGAGGAGCAGGGCCTGAGTCCCACCAGGCCTCCTCACTCATGGTTTCTGACACCCGTAACTCCTGGCTTCTGTCTATCATTACCTACCGCAGGTGGAGGAAGAAGAGTTATCTACTACATAGCCCTAGGGCCAGCTAACTCCTACTGTATGTGTGTACACAGTTCAAATAAAACATCAAAAAGCTAAGGCTACAATCATGATCTCTTCTCTAGTCCTTTCCAAAACCTTCCTTTTTGGAGCGCCTGGGTGTTTCAGTCAGTTAAGTGTCTGCCTTTGGCTCAGGTCATGATCCCAGGTCCTGGGATTGAAACCCACATCAGGCCCCTGCCTAGTGGGAAATAGGCTTCTCCCTCTCTTTCCCTCTACCCCCATCACCCACTGTTCCTTCTCTCGCTGCCAAATAATAAATAAAATCTTTAGAAAAAACAAGAACAAAAAACCCCCAAAACCTTCCTTTTTAAATCACTTCCTCTGAGACTTTCCCCTAATTAGTGACTCCTTTAAATCTTTCTTGGTTTCTCATTATGCCACCCCAAAGTCTGACTAGGTTCCATTTCTAAAAATAAAGATTTTAATCTGAGCAAAAAATTCTACCTAGACTGAAAGCCGACTTTTACGCTTTAAAATGTGGCAATGCTCAGCATAAAACTTCTGGCTTTACCAAAATTGTAGGCTTCAATATTTTAACAGAAAATTAATTATTAATGATTAGAGGAAACAAATACACTCCATTTGTTCACAGTAACATGCCCTTCCCATTAAGTTTAATATAGGATAAAAGACATGCACACCATTTGCTTTTACCACTCAAGTTCATAAGGGTAATAAAAAGGAAAAAAAAAAACCCACACAGCTGAACAAATACAGTTCTGACACAGGCAAGTTTGAAAAACATGGTCACTAGGTCATCACTAATAACTAATTATGATTTTTGGAATTAACTATCAGCTCTTCTGACATAGGTGTTCACCAAAATAGAGAAGCAAAATACTGCTTACCCCTCAGAGAAGGAGGAATCAATATCTCTCTGCTCTGTTTATTTTTTTTTTTAATAGTAATAACATCATCCTAAATTTGGGTAGCATCTTTAAAAAATATTCACATAAAATTTAATCACGGTTTATCCTCATGACAACCGTATAAAGTACACTGGAAAATATATTTAATCTCATTTTAAAAATAAAGAAACAAATATAGAAAACAAGTGTGACTTGTATAAGGTCACTGACAAGGTACCCTGGCAGAAAATACAGTTCCAGTTTAGCTCCACACCAAGTAGGACACAAAATGTTCCTAGAAATTGCTAGTGTTTGTAGCCCGCTTCTGCCAGGGTCACCTTGGCCGGGCTCTGCAAAGCCTGCTGGCACACCCCCCAACCGTATCTCGCTTCTACAACCAAAAGGTGATGTAGGATGGAGTGAGGAAGATACAGAACAGATAGAAACGCTAGACCAAGGTCAGCAAACTTTTTCTGTAAAGGACCAAAAAGTATAAATACTTTAGACTTTGTTGGCCATTCTGCTCTCACAGCACAATATATAAATAAAAGGGTATGGTTATGTTCTAGTAAAAATGCGATTTATAAAAACAAGCAGTGGACTCACGACCCAGTTTTCCAAACCCTGCTCTTGACCTGTAACCCCTCCAGAAGTGTGCAGGTAGGATATGCTGGGGGCAGGAAGGGTGCCTCTGACTGTCTGACCTCTCGGCACCACAAGGCCAAACTCACATAAAACTGCAACAACTCATGTTCCAATACTTCATATAAACAATTTTATACCCTGCTACTTTGACTTAACTTTTTCTCTTTTATCAGCTTCGGTCTCTGAGAGTACAAAACTTTCATATCAGGATAATCTCTGATACCACCTAACATGATAATCTCATGATAACTTTGAAGATTAGTTTATACATGCAGTAATTTCCTTTTCTTTCTCCAGGAAAAGGCATTTCTACTGAGCCTTTTGGACAACGAGTTCATCTATTGTTATGTATTCAGAAATAGCTCAGGGAAAGGTCTTAAGTTCAAGGACTAGTTTAGCTTTTAGGGCAGCCTCCTTTCCTAAATTCAGACCTCAATAAACAATAAATAGAGTTGAATCTCCAACTCTTCCCTCAGACCTCAAAGGACGTAGGATCACCATATCAGACATCTGAGCAAAGAAAAATATAACTATCACCATGCAGCATAGTACTAATCATGCATATTATTATTATAAATCATTAGCGCCCTTGTCACTTACAAATAATTAATTCTCAATGCCTCTTCTGACCTCAAAGAGAGTTAAGAAATTAACATTTTCCCTAACATACAATGATGGAATCTGTGGAACATGAGCACCAAAGGCATGAGTAAACTATCATTTTACTGACATTTTACTTACGTGAAGGCACGGTACACCATTTGCTTGAATTCTACTCCTATGAGCACATGCACACACCTTCCTCTAAAGGTATATTACACTGATATATGGGACTAAACTGTGGGCAAACATGTTGAGATCTGACCAAAGGTAACAGAACTCAGATATAATCTGGAAAACTAACCAAATGCCAGAAGCCCATTACAATTTAAACAAAATTCTTATAGCATACACTCAAAGTTTCCTAAACAGAGTTGAAATTATTAAATAAAGAAACAGCAAGCAGAACTATTTCAAAAAGCAACATTACCTCAATTGGGTTAAATTTAACACTACTTATACTGTCGAATCCCCAGGTCATTGAACAGATAGGACTTGTTCTTTGTTCATCCCAAATGTCTACTTGCTGTCCACATGTGGCAAAAACAGCTTCTTTCCAGTGATGATCAATTCCTGTATACACTGTCTTTAAGAGCAAAGATGTTGTTATAGATGGGTCTTTCTATCATTAATATTTCAAATCTATATATTTTAAATATATTTACCCACACTTTCATCTTTTTTAAGAAAATCCCTATTTAGAAAGAAACTCAGTAGAGCATATGACTCTTTATCTCAGGGTCGTGAGTTCAAGCCCCACATTGGGCATGGAACCCACTTAAAATAAAAATTGAAAAAAACCTGGCAAGGGTGGATAATAATATTGTTAAAATCAATAAAATCTTATAAATTTTGAATTATCCACTTAAAAGATGAGATCGATCTATTCAGGGCAGATTAAAATCTGTCTTTATACTATGTGGTAAAAAATGTTTGCAAAGCAAATTAAAGGGAAATATTTAGCCAACACTTTACGCTTTTAAGAACTCTTAGCAGCATCCGCAGGCTTCCAATTATTTTCTATTCACGAAGACAAATCTGAGAAACTTTTCCACAGTAAGAATTAATCCCCATTACCACAGATACAGGGGTAAGATGAAATATTTCAAAAACATTTGGAGCTCCTAGAGAGAAGACATTTTCAAGAATGAAACCAATTTTGTTTTAGAATTAATGCCTAATTTTTTTACCAGTTGCAAATTATTTCCATCTAATACTCATGTCCCACCTCCATGTGCCTTTAAAAACATTTACAAGTTCTTGAAATCTGAAAAGCAGAACTTAAATATATACCAACATAATACTAAGATGACAAGCCGATTTTACAAATGTATATATTTAAAGATTAAATCTAACTTTAGAAGTTCCCTTCATATCAAAATGTAAGCATTATGAAACATGGGCAGGCCATATGATCTGAATTATACTTAAGCTATAACTAAACCATATCATCTGATTTGCAGAATAATATTCTAAGAAATGTAAATGAGATTTATACAAAAAGCATATTATAATACCTCTTCATTGCCTAAGGGGTTCTTTCAAGTAAGAAATTCTGAGCTTTGTGTAAGATCTATGATAATATAAATCAGAGAGAAGCCGATGCATTATTTTTCTTATAGATTCCTCCCATGGACTTGCCATAGGAAATGTTTCATTGCATCCTCCAGGTAAACACAGAAACTGAACCCAATACAATGAACACCAAAGACCCATTCAAATTCTTCAGCTGCAAAGGACCTTAACTGTATTAAATATTGCTTAAAATAGGTCAATTATTGCAGCCTAAAGTCTCATTTACATCTTTTATTTTTTAATTAAATTTCTGAAATAATTTTAAGAGAAGAATTTTAATAGACAAAGTATAGGTCAATTTATTTCTGTACCTTTCCTAATATTGTATGTAATGGTTCTTCCTCTTCTCCGTAGCCCGGTCCATCCATTTTCCATTGCTTCACAGTTTTGTCATCGCCAACCTTGAAACATTAATGATTCAGGTGATAATGAACTACTCTTATTAACTGTAAACTTGATAACATATACGTCAAATTATAAACACCTTGTGTTTAAAAAAATACATGTCCCAAATCCTTCCAGTACTGTATTTGTTGATGCATTTTACGTCCCACATGTTACAGTAAAGATTTGTGACAAATACACAGTAGATAAAATTAAAAATAAGGGGGCGCCTGGGTGGATCAGTGGGTTAAAGCCTCTCCCTTTGGCTCAGGTCATGGTCCCAGGGTCCTGGGATTGAGCCCCACATCGGGCTCTCTGCTCAGCAGGGAGCCTGCTTCCTCCTTTCTCTCTGTCTGCCTCTCTGCCTACTTGTGATCTCTGTCTGTCAAATAAATAAATAAAATCTTTAAAAAAAAAAAATTAAAAATAAGACAGGGGCGCCTGGGTGGCTCAATGGGTTAAAGCCTCTGCTTTTGGCTCAGGTCATGATCCCAGGGTCCTGGGATCAAGCCCCGCATCCGGTTCTCTGTTTGGCTGGGAGCCTGCTTCCCTTCCTCTCTCTGCCTGTCTCTCTGCCTACTTGTGATCTCTCTCTGTCGAATAAATAAAATTTAAAAAATAAATAAATAAAAATAAGACAATGTAAGTAGAGCAAAAGGAGAGTAGAAACAAAGTTAGGTCATAAATATAAAAAACTGCATACTATGATAAGGATGGCATTTCAAATAAGGAAGAAAAATGGATTATAATAAAATGGAATTACAGTATCAGGTGAGTCATTTAAAAAGTTTGAAGCAATCTGACACCTGGTATAAATATAAAATTCCATATAATTTTAAAGGTAAAAAATTAAATACAAAACATAAAAATAGTAGATAGAAGTCATTCTTATAATCCTGCCATGGGTAAAGCCCTTCTTTGCATGACAAAACTATTAAGTCAATGGTTTTCAAACTGTGAAATGCAGACCTCTGAAGGATCCTGAGAATTTTTCAGGGATCCATGAGGTCAAAACGATTTCCATAATGTTGTAAAGACATCATTTGTCTTTTCACTGAACTGACAGTTGTGCAGATAGTGAAAAAGCCATGGCCCAAATGAAGGCAAGGTAACAAACAATGGTAATTTAGACTTGGGCATGTAGCAGATTCATTCAAGGTATTATGGGAAATAAGCTACAAAACAATGCACAATATAACTCAGTTTAGGGTTAAAAACATAAAATAATCATATACAGGGTGCGAACAATTCTATATATACACCAAACTACTAGTTTTTAACTGAAAACTAGTATGAATGTAAAAACTTTCTACGTTTTTACATTCATATTATACATAATCTGTATCTACTTTCTAAATAAAAATATTAACAAAAATATATATTTATCTAGGACAGAAGTGTAAATTTAGTTTTCCTTATAGCAAACTCAAAGAGGGAAATCCTTCCTGCAAAACAATCCACAGCGCCCATGATATTAGAACAGGTAAGTGATTAGGGAAGAAGTTTTGGTACTAAGGTCAGACAGGAATTTCTTTTGTTGAGGAGTTGAGGATGCAATTTAGGTACTGAGGTCTTTGCTAATCTGGCCTGACCCACTGGAATGTTAGCATTTATGGAACACAGGATAAAACTGTCATTGAGACCATCTACCCCAAAGACTGCTGCTTTCGATCAAGCTTCTTCAACTATCTGCAAACTCAAAACTGAATTCCTTTGTAATTGACTATGCTACTCTATACAGTCTGTTGAGTATAAGCCTCAGCAGATCATCAATCCTGAGAAAGGTTTAACATTTTGTAGAAACGAGGAGCCAAGCAATATATGCCTGGCCGGCATAGCTTATCTCAAGGCTGAGTAAGCTGAAGAAAGACCTGTTGGTGCCACAAATTGAGATATAGTCAATATTATGAAATTTAGCTAACGAAGATTTATCTTTTGCAACATTGTGTACTGAACATTTTTTGAAACATTAAGTCCTAAATTTTGGCCAACAAGTAGTTTTCACATGTCTTACCTGAAGAAAAGAAGTGAATAGTGAGTATGAAATATTTTTCTGACTTTTTAACTTTTAAGCATTAAAAAAAAAAAAACAAACAGCCAATAAATCCTCTGCCTGGGATACTAAACTAATCAATATACCCCAAAGAATAACCAACGGGAAGTGTAGTTACAGTCAGTCTGCTCCAACTTCCCACCAATTCCTTCTACAACATACTGTATACAGGGTGATGAAGCTTGTTTAAACCCCTTTACTGTGGCACCTGGGTGGCTCAGTGGGTTAAGCCTCTGCCTTCAGCTCAGGTCATGATCTCAGGGTCCTGGGATCAAGCCCTGAAACTGGCTCTCTGCTCGGCGGGGAACCTGCTTTCCCCCCTCTCTCTGCCTGCCTCTCTGCCTACTTGTGATCTCTGTCAAATAAATAAATAAATTCTTGAAAGAAAAAAAAGACCATCTCTACGACAATGTCAGTTTCTACAGCATGTGGAGATGCCTTACTCTTAAAAAGTGTTAGCTAGGGGATCCTGGATGGCTCAGTGGGTTAAGCCTCTGCCTTCAGCTCAGGTCATGATCCCGGGGTCCTGGGATTGAGCCCCGCATTGGGCTCTCTGCTTGGCGGGAAGCCTGCTTCCTCTCTCTCTCTCTCTCTGCCTGCCTTTCTGCCTACTTGTGATCTCTGTCAAATAAATAAATAAAATCTTAAAAAAAAAAAAACAAAAAAAAAACCTTTACTGAAAAATACCTGAATTCTCTGCCTATTAGCCAAGTAGCCTATTTTGGTTTTTGACAGCGAGTTAGTTTGTCCCTACACCGAAACAAAATCTTTTAACATTAACAACTATTCCTAAGGCTGCTATATAGGAAAAGTCCATTTCTTCTTTCACACAACAATCTTTCAAATATATATTTTTTTAAATCTTCCAAATATTTAAAGGTTTCCCAGAAGTCATCTCCTCCCTTTGCTATTCCTTTCCCATCTACCTTGGCACCCAGCATGCTACTCAAGATTTACACAGTTGATTAGTGCATCTGTATACACGAGCCGCTATATATACAGGTCAAAACATATGAAAGGACAGATACCAAACTGCCAACAGTGGTAAAACTGAAAGATTAAAATCACAGGACCCTTAACTTTCTATTTTTCACAGGTCTATATTCCTAAAATACTTCTTTCAGTCTTCATCCTCGTTATCCTTTGTAGTCATTCACACAACCAATGATCCTTTCCCCCTGGGACATTAAGCTCATTTACAGGCTCTTCTAACTCTCTGGCTACTCCCAAAACTTTTCCTACCTCCTAGGAGCAGGCATTCTCCAAGGCTATTTCCCTGACATTTCTGTATTTCTACATTTTCCCTGTCACTTTCCCCCAGTGATGCCATACCATGGCTTCAATCTTTATTTCTGTACTGATGATACCAAGTTTAGTTCCAACTTTCTTCAGAACTTCAATTCCAGAGCTACATCTGTAAGGGCCTGACAGACCTCTTCACTCACATAGCCCACTGCAGTCCAGTTCATCATACCATGCCCTTCTCATTCCCTCTCTCCTCTAAAGTTTCTGACACTCCTGACTTCCCCACTCCTGGAAGGAAAAGGAATCTTCCTAAACGACCCTCAGTTGCCAAGCCTGTCATACCTCCAAAGTGTTTCTAAACCTAACAACTACTTTCCATTGTTTTCCCTCCCTAGCACAGATTCATTATTGCTTATTAAAACAGCCTCCAAACTGATCATTTACTGCTGTCAAATTCATTACTTCAAAGCACAGCTTAGATTCATTCCTGTTACTAAACTTGCAATGAACTTGAGCAGATATTTGCACACCAATGTTTATAGCAGCATTATTCATAAAAGCAGGTAGGTGGAGACAATCCAAATGTCCACTGACGGACGAACGGATAAACAAAACGTATGTACGTACAACAGAGTATGATTCAACTATAAAAAGGAAAGAAATTCTGATACCTGCTACAACATGGGTGAAGCCTGAAGACATTATGCTAAGTGAAATAAGGCAGACACAAAAGGGAAAATATTATATAATTCCACTTGTGTGAGGCACCTAGAATAGTCAACTACATAGAAAAAGAAAGTGGAACAGTGGATGCAAAGGGCTGGGAGCAGGGGGAATAGAGTTATTGTTTAAGGGACATGAGCCTGATTGGGAAGATGAAAAAGTGGTAACAGTCACACAATAATGTGAATGTACTTAACGCCACTGAAATGGACACTTAAAAATGATTAGGATGGTAAACTGTACATTCTGTATACCTTACCACACACATAAATACTTCCAAAATTTAATATCTGACAAAGTACAAATTACTCATCTCCAACACTGAAAATCTTCCAGAGTAAACCACCTTTCCAGCCTTGCCTTGCATTAATCCCACATCTCAGTGTTCTACAGAATATTAATTCGAATACACGTTAAGTATTATTTAAAAAAAATCAAGAAGTATGAAGAAGGCTGAAGTATATAAAGAAAACTAAGACTTTTCAAGACTTTAAGAAGTTGTACCGGGTTGTGAAACTCCAAAAGGCTCTTGGAAGAAATAAATGTATTCAGAAAACATTAGCTCAGTCTTATACAAGTTGAGAAGAGTTAATGACTTAATTGCATTATACTTACAGTAAAAAAAGAAGTCCCACAAAAGCGAGTACATATTCCTCGTACAAAACCTTCATGGGCTTGTATTGTACGGATACATTTCCGTTTAGTCAAGTTCCAAATTCTAACCTATGATAAAGCATACCAGGAAACTTTAGTGAACTATAAACATAAAATGTTCAAGCACAGGAGTACTATGTTCCAAGAAAAATAAATTCACACTGAAAAGCCTATGACTCACTCTACCAGATTGCTAAAAACAAAATCCTCTAGTTTAAAATACTGCAGTGCATATGGACAGTATATCAACAAGCAGAAAATTCAATCTGTTATGTACTCTGTTGATTCCAGTTTAAAGTGTTTCAAAGCTTCCTTTTCTTGCCAGAGTGGAAATAAGTGTTGAATCATTAATAACATCCTCTGTTGGGGGGGGGGACCCAAAATTCACAAATACCTTTACTACTGTAAACATGCTTGAGACTTCAGCTCAATTGAGCCTTCAGCTATTACATTTCTAATTTTTGAGGCTTAGATAAGAAACTATGTAGTTCGTAATTCAAACAGAATTCATTCTTGAGAATTAATAAAAAATAGGACACAGAAAAATGAAATCAAAGCAATTAAAATCCGCAGTAACACAAAACTATAAAACATTTGTAATATAACTATTTTTAATTTAAAATAGGAATGTTTAGAGTGATACTTGCCTCTCCATCACATGCCCCAGAAAGGACAGTAGCCAGGCTCTTTGGATGCTTTGCCAAGCAATTGACTCCATCTCGGTGACCATCCAGAGAAGCAAGGAATGGTTTTGCAAATACCCGTTCCAGTTTGGTAGCATTTAAAGCTCTTACGTATTCTCGTGGGACCTCAAAAGGATGTAAGGTAGGATCATAGTTTCTTGGAACTGAAATAAAAATGACTTCTCTTAATAAAATAATTCACTTTTAATATTTCCTGTGGTCTTCCTCAGCTAATTATTCAATTTGTTACTCAATAAGCCTTTGTTAGGAACACTGTTCTATGCCTAGCACTGTGAAAAATTCCAAAGTAGGTGCCCTTTAACTCAGAAACCTTTCCAAAAGTTTCCAAAACTACCGGAAAATCATGGAATGCATACATCTTGCAAAATAATTAGACCCTACATATAACCTCAGCTTTTACTTTTATATGTCCTACTACATTCTTTAACTGGGTTGCAAAGCTTTGATGAGCAGGGCTTTCACCACATTTTTCACTTTACTACTTATGCCTAGCACAGTGCCTGGTACAAAACAAATCTCTGACAAATGTTTACCCAACCGAACTCGAAGCTCCTTTTGAGGCAGGTAACAGTATTAATCACCAGTGCTAACCATTATATTGATATACACTGTTGTGATTATGATTATAGTAACTTTTTATTGAGCATTTCACACATTTGTTTACTTACTTAAAAAACAGTTTACCATGTCCCAGGCACTGTTCCAAATACTGTACATTAATTCATTTAATCTCCACAGTACTCTATGGGGTAAGTTCTATTACTATTTCCCATTTTATAGCTGGGAAACTGAGGCATGGAAAAGTAACTTGCCTATGAAGTGATAAGGCCAGGATTCAAACCAAAGCAGTCTGGTTTCAGAATCCATGTTCTTAACTATTACCCTATGCTGCCAAACATATTGTCTCAGTTTACAGTTGTGTTCTAAGCACACATGTCTAAAAAACCCTTAATGTTGAAAAGTAAATGCATCTTCTTACCCCACATCTTCAACTTGCTTTTTTTTTCTCTAACTCCCTATTACTGGTACTATATCCAACATTCAATCAAAAGGAAATAACACCTAAACAAGAATGAAAGAATAAGAAAAGGTAACAAATGGGGCGCCTGGGTGACTTTGTTGGTTAAGCAGCTGACTACTGATTTTGGCTCATGTCATGATCTTGGGGTCCTGTGACTGAGCCCCGTGTTGGGCTCTGCACTCTCCCAGGGGTGTCTGCTTGAGACTCTCTCAAATAAATAAATAAATAAATAAATCCTTAAAAAAAAATAACAAATGTCTTCCTTGATTTATGTTTTACAGAGCTCCTAAACTTCTATTTTTCCATTTTGCTATTAAAACTTCCATCTAAACGTCTGTCTTCGGCTCAGGTCATGATCTCAGGGTCCTGGGACTGAGCCCTGAGTCAAGCTCCCTGCTCAGCGGGGAGTCTGCTTCTCCTTCTCCCTCTGCCCATGCTCCCTTGCTTGCCCTCAAATAAATAAAATCTTTAAAAAGAAAACTTCCATGAGAAACTATAAAGAAATAGAAAGATATTATAGAAAATAAGACACTCAGTAACATCAGATGACTAATAACCTCCTAACATGGAGAGTCTATGACCAGCCAGTCACTCACTCATTCCTTCCTTCAGACATTTATAAAGTAAACACTATGTGCCAGGTGTTGTCTAGACGCAGTGGATATAGAAACAAATATGATTCTTCCCTTTTATGCAAGCTCAGTCTGATGGAAGAGACTGATAACCAAAATAATCATGAGACAGTGTGATACACACTCTGATGTTAGTACAAAAATGCGATCGAAGCATAGAAGAAGGATGCTTCAAACGGGCTGGGGGCGGGGGCGGGCAACCACAGGGAATAAGTAGGGAAAGATTATTGTTCAGAGGAAGGAGCTAAATGGAGTATGGGTGTGTGCCACAGGCCTTCTGAAAGAGAAATGTCCGAAATGTACTCAGAAATCCAAGGGTAAATGTAAGCTACCTGCAAGGAAAATAGTGACTAGTGAAACTAGAGAGGAAGATGGGACCAGAGGTTCAAGGAGCAAGGATGATGTCAAGTCCAGATGATGTAACATAATTTGCATTTTAAAAACATTACTATCTTGTTACTGTAAACATCTTGTGAACAGACACCACATATTTACCTCTCAGAATTTATTCATATATAATGAATAATCTCTACTACTCAATCAAAATACCGAAGTATCATCCGAGCTTCATCTTCTATGGCTATCCTCCTCACTGAAACTCCGAAGACATGGCCCTTCGCTTATGCTTTATTTTTATTCCTGCCTTAAAGCTTTTGTTATTCTCTTCAGACATGGTTAATCCCTCGTCATTTAGATATCATGATCTATAAGTGGTAAGTAGTCAGGCTGCTACTGGGGGAACAGACCAATAAGACCAATAAATAATAAGTCTTACTAAATTCACTTTGGCCATTTCCCCATCAGGCCTCTCCACAAAAGTTTAGAAAACTGATGGCTTTACGTTTCACCTTTGTCTCTTCCCACATTTAGAAGTACGTAACTTTAAGAAGTAAAGTGGCCAAAAGTTAGAGAGGTTTAAAGCAGCCTTTCAAATCTTTGAATTCACTTGCTTGGCTTTCAAGTTCCGCTTCTCTACAACTGGAATCTGAGAAAAGTCCGAGAGCAGCAGCTGGAAAGGGGGAGGCGGAAGCATTCCAGGTACGACCAACTTTCTCACTAACCACTAGAAAAAGTTCTTCAAAAACGGCCTTGAAGAGAAGTTACCCGCTACCCCGTCCCGCAATATCCTTATCTGCACAAAGTTTGGCTCGGCAAAAGGGAACGGGGAAAGAACGAGCCTGCAGCGCCAGTGTTCCCCCAGATTTGCTCCGTGGAAGCCGAAGGCGGACTCAAGGCTGGCGGACTCCCTAATAACTTGTCTCACCTCTTTGTAGGTCCAGTTTGGTTTCGCGTACATAGTTGTCCGGGTTCCGGCTCAGCATCTTCACCTTCATTGTGGCCGCTAGTTGCCCCCGAACCCTCCAAGCCTTGCCTCCGCGTTCGGATTACCACCTCCTCCTCAGACACATGCTACTTCCGCTTTTTCAATACTACTTCCTGTCATGTGACTTCCACGGCGTGGAAGCCGGCTGCCTCAGCAGGACCCTGCGGCGCTCCGTAGTTTTCCCGGCAGAGGTTGGCCGGAGGTGGTTCTTCAATAGTGCTCCTGTGTCCGCCACACTCGGCGCGAAACCGCAGCAGGTGGGGCGGGACGGGGCGGAGGCGGGGCCTTGACGGAGGCCGGCGCCCCGCCTCCTTCGCGCTCTCCGCAAGCGTGACGTGCTACCTTTCCCCTCTCACGTCGGCTCTGCGCTGGGGTCTCTCCGCTTAGTTACCGCGTCCTAGCACTGGTCCCGGAAGTGGGCTGTCCACCCCGCCACCCGCCTCCCGCGGTTTCTGCTCCTGGGCGGCGACGGTCGCCACGGTGGCGGCCACTGCATCTCCTACCACCTCCGTGGCCCTGGGCGCGGTATCAGCGGGCCCTGGGACTATGACGGGCCAGGGACAGTCAGCGTCAGGGTCGTCGGTGTGGAGCACGATATTCCGCCACGTCCGGTACGAGAACCTGGTGGCGGGCGTGAGCGGCGGGGTCCTGTCCAACCTCGCACTGCACCCGCTCGACCTCGTGAAGATCCGCTTCGCTGGTAAGAGCCCGCTCTGACCCTGGGCTCCTTCTCCTTGCTGGTACCCCGAACTGGGTGATAAAGGCTCAAAAGTAGGCCTTGCTCTCCCCAGCCCCTTGCGTTCTCCTAGGCGAGCGTTGAACAAAATGCTGCTTATACTGCCTCACCTGGAACTAGATTTGAGGAAGGGGAGCCTGAGAAAGGGATCTGGCTGTCCTCGTCCCCGTTCCCCAAGCCTAAGGGATGGACAACAGGGATAGAAAATTCTGAGAAAAGTTCAGATTGGCGTAGGATGGGGGACTCACCTTTGTCTTTGTAAATTGAGAAAGGGATTGGCACATTTTAGGGTTCAGCTCTCGCATGCGCTAATCATTCACCCTTGGAGGTACTTTGAAATCTTAACGGTAGCCACGTGTTTGGCGGTGGACATGAGAAAAAGTGCTTGGGGTAGGGCTAATTCTCAGCGGGTGACTGAGAATGGGTTGAGGATAGGATTCTCTTGAAGACTTGTTTTTTGGTGCTTATAGTGTGGTACAAAATCCCATGAAGGAATAGATAGCTAGAATCCAAGTGCTGTTTTTTAAAATTTAGGTTTATTAAGTGCAGTGAGGTAAGTGAAATTTACAAAGTACCGTAGAAGTTAAACTCAACAGTGAATTCTAGAAAAGATCGTTCCGAAGAACGTCTTGATAACTTTACTGGGAAACTATTTTCTGGCATTTGGTTTTCTTACTACTACAAGTTCTGCCTTGAGAATTAGATCTGCAGAAGTGGTTCATCTTCAAGAATCAGACTGATTCTATCATCTTAAATATATTGTTCCCTTAATAGTTGTAGATTGCTGTACAGGATACAGAGGCACCTAAACACAGTTCTCATCCTTGAAGGAGTTTCGGTCTAACCGTAGCCATGAGAGTTAGTCACATAAAAGATAATTCTAAGACAACATAAAACGAAGGGCAAAATCCAAATATCAAAATATGAGTAGAGACAGACTATCAGGAAAATTTTAGATTGCTGATGGTCATATGTGTCTGTATGTGTAAGGTTCCATTAGATCTTGAGGTTCCACACAGAAGGCCTCATATGTTGACAGCTGGAAAGGAGACAAGAAGCCATTCTATGGAGGAAAATCAGTGAAAATCATGGAGTATACTCCCTAGAAGAAAACCCAGAAAGGCATATAATTTCCATGGAGTTTGTAACACATGCACAGATAAAAATTGTGATGACAAATAACATTGTGCATCTACTAAGAGCAAGGCAATGAGCTAAGAGTTTTACATCTATTATCTATCTCATTTACTACCCTGAACAACCCTGAGAATTTATTATCTCCACTATACCAATGAGAATAATAGAAGTTGACTTGCTCAAGTCTCAAGTTTATAACGGCATGGATGTGGGATTTGAACTCAGGCAGTCTAATTCTAAAACCCTTGGACTCTTAAACCACTCACCATTCTACCTCTAGGAATCCCTAGTATACAGTGACTTGAACATGAAGAAAAGAATTTTGGATTTGGCTGCAGGCACAGGCCTGTATGACTTGGTGTCTCCCATGTTTTGTCTAGGAGAAGAGGTGACAGTTGAGATGATCATTGAGGAATAGTGTTGGCTTGGTGAGTTTAAGCAGGGCTGTGAAGCAGATTATGCCTGAAGAAAGGGAATTCTTGGTACCTGAGAAGATGGTAATCTTGATGAAATGGGGAGAGTTTTAGGAGGCCAGTGTGGCCAAGGTAATAGGTAAGATGATTGAGACTGGATGGAGGATAAAATTAAAGATCTAGGAATCAAAGCAGGAGTTTGTAATGATAAAGTGTGGCAGTGAAACGTGATAGAAGCTTTTGCGCAGTGGCAGTATCGTAGCCAATGAGGTTTATCCGAGGCGCGATTATTGCTAATTGAAACGTGATAGAAAAGGGGGAAAATTTAGGAAGATGAATAACAAATCAAAATAGTTGATTGGCCAGCAGCACTAATGCTGTAGTTCTTATGCTTTCATAAAACTTAGGCACTTAAAATGAAATTGTAATTACCTAGTGACAAGGGGTATTAGTCTTGAATGCCCCATTGAACCGAACCTGGAATATTTCCGTGAGTTCAGGTGCAAATTCAAAATTTTGTGTCCAGTGTGGTAGAAAGATTAGAAATCACTTGTGAGAAATGACTGGAAAAACTAGTTTGGCTTCAGGTGGGTGGAGGGCAGGGACAGATGACTTAAGATATTTGAAGAACTGCCATGTGTGAAAGGGATTTATCTTATTATGGGTTGATCCAAAGACCAGGTAGAGGTTGAGTGGAAATGATAGGTAAGCAGATTGTGACTGTCCCACGTGGGGGTGCTCAGAAATGAAACTGGTGATATCTGGACGTGGTTCAGGGCTAGAAGACAGAAGATAGGAGATGCCCCTGTGTTGAGTGGAAAAGTCGGTCGGATGAGGTGATTGATGAGGACCCTTCTAACTTTAAGATATAATTTTATTTTATTTTTTTTTTAAGATTTTATTTATTTATTTGACAGAGAGAGAGATCACAAGTAGGCAGAGAGGCAGGCAGAGAGAGAGGGGGAAGCAGGCTCTCTGCTGAGCAGAGAGCCCGATGCGGGGCTCGATCCCAGGACCCTGGCATCATGACCTGAGCCGAAGGCAGAGGCTTAACCCACTGAGCCACCCAGGCACCCCTTTAAGATATAATTTTAAATCATCCAAGAATGATGAGAGAGAGGGGTGCGTGGCTGGCTCAGTTGGAGGAGCGAGCGACTCTTGATCTTGGGGTCGTAAGTTCAAGCCCCATGTGGGGAGTAGAGATTACTTAATAAAATTTTAAAAAAGACTGATGAGATAGAGAGAGCGTGTCCGCCTCAATGAAAAATGAGGTATAACAGTAATTTTCTAAAATAACTTGAAAGCCCAATAATCCACAAGTTAAACGAGGGATGAAAGTATAGAATCAAGTAGCAAGAATAGCATACAGTCCAGTTTTGTATATATAGTGTAGTATTGCCAGCCCCTGTAGCTTAAATAAACTAATACTTCCTGAATGCTTTCTGTGTGCCATACATGGTTTTAAGGGCTGTATATGTATTCATTCATTTAGCCCTTTGTATTTTCATAGATAGGTTCTATTATTTCTCCCATTTTGTGGATGAGTTAGTGCAACCACAGAGTAATCAAGTAAGTGACTCAGAGTCACACAATTAAGTGTTGGAGTGGAAGGGGGCTGCAAAGGAAATTTAGTGACCAGAGAAGAAAGAAAAAAATCAGGAGAGTGTCATGTGAAATTAGGCCAAAGAAGAGAGTTTAGGAGGTAGACAGTCTTAAGTGCTGCTAAATAGTTGATGAGAAAGAGAGGTTTCCCCAGATTCACTTCAGGCTCTCTAGAGCCCTTGCAGTAATGGGTGGAGGCCCAAATCACACCGCAGTGGACTGGGGCGGTGCGGGGACACAGTTCACACCATCACACCATCGCCCTGCTTTCTAGCCTAATTTCCTACCAGCCCTTCCCTTCATCAGCTGTACACTTTATATCGAATCCCTGATGTTCTCCCAGACAGTGCCAGGCACTGTGATACCTGCACGTATCCACAACAGCTGTAGCGCTTGTCTAGAGACAAATCTTTCTCTCCTTTTCCCAAAGACAAGTTTCTAATCAATCTCAAGGCTCTACGCTAGCATCGTCTCTCTCACATTCACTGTCACTCTACTGCATCTCCCTAGTTCTTTCTATACCGAACATCTTTTTGTTTCTTCTGTAATCCTATAACACTTCATTCACCATAGTGCTTCTAACTGGGCAACGTGATTGTTGCTGTTTGGCCTTGAAGATTATGTCTTCCTCGGGATCAGAGTTTGTATCCTACTTGTGTTTAGATTCCCCCTTTGCCTGGCAATAACAAGGAGTCAGTAGTTTTTAAATTTTTGTATAAAGTGACAGGTGTACAAATCACCGTTTTTCAGATATAAAGATTTGATCCTAACTGTATAGTGGAGAGCAGATTATAGCATCAGGGAAGTACAGGGTGTAGAATGTTGTTGCCTGTTACTGAGATACTTAATACTCTACTTCTGTAATTAAGTGACTTGTCAAAATAATAAAGAAATCATTGGTTCATCCCCATGAAAAGCAAAGATGGTGTTTTTGTGGTTTTGTTTTTCACCTCAAGAGAGAATCTGTGTTGTGAACTTATTACTGAAAGGAAAATGGAAAGGTACTTGGAAGAAATTTATCAGGAGAATAAGAGACTTGAAATTCAAGGAAAGCATCAGAAAGATTATGAAATACACAGCAGAATATTTCTTGAGAGCCAGTCCCTCTGTTACTTGTTTTTAAACTTTATATCTTGTATAAACTTCATGACAACCTGTGAGGTGGGTCATATTTATCCCCATTTTATAAATGAGGATGCTGAAGCTCAGAAAGATTAAGGTCA